ATTAAACCCGTGCAGTATTGACACAGTAAGTTGCCCCTAATGACATGACAAATGTTCATATAATGACGCCTCGTGATAATAAAAAGTTTAACCTCATGGTAATGCCACGTTTTACCTCCTGGTAATGACCAATTTAACCTCATGGTAATAGCAAGTTTAACCTTATGGTAATGACAAGTTAAACCTCAGTGGAGGGACGAGTGCTAGGACTTTACTATGACCTCAAGTATGTCATATCCTATATAAAGTAAGTTTCTGTATTTATCCTAAAGCAACATCTCCGTAGAATGTTTGGTAGCAGTAATGGATCTTAGTGGAGTAGGTCCTTATCATCCGCGCCTCCACATTGTGGAAACCAATGGTAGCCGCTTTTAAATAAACTGTTGAATGACGTGGCTATGTACGGGGATCTAAAGCACGCACAGCAGGCATTCACACTGGGCGTGTCCTAACATCTAATTCTAAAAATTTGAAAAATTGTGAGGGTGACACAACAGAGTTGGGATGAATATTGCTACACTCATCACCTTCCGCTATTGTCTCTTTTAAACAGCACGCACCTGCTTGCCCTTGGTGAAAATGAAATTAAATTTTTGCTGTCTTTCACTGGATTGCACATGGAAAAATCTGGCGCTGCGAGTGTGTATTTATCCTCGTCACTTTAAGGGCCCTCGTGACGTGTCAGTGGTGTTTGATCTGGAGGTAAGTGTCTGCTCGCATGTGTTTGTTTTGTCGTGAAGTCTTTAACGTTTCTTTAGACATAATAGACTACTTTCATAAAACGATTCACTTTGTATTCTTGCGCTCAGGAGAGAGGTATTTTAGCGAAGGCAGTCAGCGATGAATGTGGGCGAGTTTTCTCTTTGCAAGCCGCGAAATTACATTCATTGTCCGCGACTGACTGGGCTATCAACACAACCACATCGTGGCTGGTGAAGTATTTACTTATCTACACGTAGCTTGGTAGGTGGCGTTTAAAAAGATTCAACCGACAAAAAAATATGACATTTTTTGTTGTACATAGGTCTCCCTCCTTTCTCTCTCCCTCAAACATCTCGTTCTGTTTTGTGTGTATAGGTTCCGTGGTGGTAGCTGAGGCGTTTCGGTTAGAGCGCTGTTCTCTCATTCGAAAAACCCGGGTTTCAATCCCAGTAAAGTGGACATTTTTGTTTTCTGCCAGGTCGACAATAAACATTCCTGCACTTGGTTAGTGACGACCTGACATACTAAACTGAGGTAAGGTGGATAGAATCAATGTCCTGGGAAGTCAACACAGTTGGTGTGGGACTGACCTAGTCCCCCTTCTAGTGCCCAGCCGGTCTAAACATACGAATCTAACACCATGTTCCCCTTGCGTCAGTGCCGCAACAAAGGTCTGCTCGTTCATCTTGTCTTCAGTCAGTAACGACATTTTATTCTGGCGTGGTGTTGAAGACGCCAAGCACACAGCCCTTGTGCATTCATGGAAACGTGTAGATTACATAGTGCATGCCCGCGTGAATGTTCAAAAGACTCATTAGCACGAAGTAGCTGGTGTGGGTATTCTCACGCTGATCGCCTTTACAGCCCAGATCATTTCCTTGTATCTATTTTAGGCTGGGTTGATTTGAGATCAAGATAAACTATTCCTAACAGCCTCTAGTCAGAGATGAGAACTAGCATCACAACACTCGATACATTGCCTTGAACCTCCGTCCCCATACTCAGCAGCCACTGCAGTTTTCATGTTGACCTTCTCTTTAGACTGTGATGATCTATTCATACTTCCCTATTGTTGACCCGCTCCAAAAGGACGTTGACCATTTTGAGCCTGTCGTGCATTTATGTATCATCAAGCGGGCAATACCAAACAATCTGTTTGCTTTTTACTCACTGGGACATCTACATGGCCCGGAGAAAAAACAAAACAAAGGACGCTAGCAACTGGCTTGCCACTTTGATAATACCTATCGTCATCTGGCTCATTGTTCTTCGTTAGTCTATTTCAATCACGACATTGACGACTCATCATACTGTTTCACCAAGTTTTAAATTGTCGTGTTTCAAACTGTTTTACCATGTTTTAAACTTGCATTCATTCTGTTTCAAACTGTTTCGTCATGTTTCACACTGTGTCATCGTATTTCAAACTGTTTCATCCTGTATGATTGTGTGTATTTGGTAGGCTGATAATCACGGTGTTTTGTGTTTAGTATATGTAGCAGAACACTTCCGCCTGTGATTTTTTTTTTTTTTTTTTTACGTATCCAGAAACCATGAGTTGTAAACCCTTTGGCTCGGTACTATGGATATCGCAACCCTTCGGCATTGATTCCATTATAGGTACCGTTAATCTGGGAGAAATGTGGCTTTTCTGCCTACCCCCGGGAGTGAACCCGGACCACAAGGAGTTCGTCACCCGGCCGCCGCGAAAATCAGGTTTAACCAACTTCGCTAGAGAGCCGGGCTAGATATTGTTTCACGGCTCAGGTAAGCTGTGAATATTTCGGTTCAAAAGATTAACCTAACCTAACAGAAGAATGAGGCAATGTGTTTAGAGTCATCAATACACTTAAAATGAGTTCCACACTAAAAGGGATATTCATCCATAGTGTCAAACGCTTTCTCTTCCCCTTTAGAGGCTTGACATAAAAAGAATATACACCGAAACAAATATTCACAGAGGTTCTTGGAAGTAAGTAAGGGAGGGAGAGGGAGAGTGAGAGTGAAAAAGAGAGGGAACTTTCGATGTGGATAGGTTTTGAACAGTAAAATTAAGATTCATTACTTGTTTAATAAGATGTATGAGAAAAGTAGCGAGCAAAACCAACAGAGAGCATGTGAGATATGAAGAGATTGCAAGAGATACTGGGACAATACCCATCGCTGATTATATTGAAAAACAAAGACTGAAATGGTTCTGTCACCTAATGATGCGGCAATATGAGCGTACACAATGAAATGAAAACGCCACGAGGTAGAGGAAGACCTACAAGAATAAAGATTGGAGTCGTTTTCACAATATAACTGTCTGAATTCACCACTTTTTTAGGGCGGTGTAGAGAGGGGGTCGTGAGCCTGAGGAGTAGGACCGCATGGCTGGTGCTTTCGCCACGGACTGTTCAGGTTAGGAAGTTTAATTTTGCCCCCGACTGAAAACCTCCATCAACTTACTCGGTGTCGAACCCTGGTCTTCCCATGAAAGCCCAATATTGTAACCACTCGGCAAACCACACCTCTGTCGTCAGCACAAACGCCTGCACAATATCACAGCGTACCTAGCAACGGAACCAGAAACCAGACATTGACACAAGAGAGTATAAGTGAGTATATGACACGTGCGATGTATTACAAGAAAACATGTGTAATTCGAGGCCAGCACTGTAACACTGACATTTGTTGGCAAGGCAATATTGCAGTGAGAGCAGCGGCGATTGTCTGTGTGCCTCCGTGTAACTTAGGAAAGTTAAGTATGGCCGTTTGCTGCAAGAGTCACTGCCGCTTGTGGAGATGTCAACACTTTGGGTGAGTATGTAGATCTATAGCGTTGGTCATAATGGATGTGTGGAAACTAAAAGGCTAGTTGGCTAGTAAACGCAGTCATAAAATCCTTCTACAAGGGACTGTGATAAACATTCTGTGTGTTTTTCGTTGGCACGGGAGCGGAGCAAACGATGGGGTGACCCGTTTGCTATGAAGCTGAAACTAGGACTACCAGACTACCAAATCATAAAAGCAATTATCTTTAAAGAATTAAAGGCGGGCTTAGATGGTATCGTCGCATCGTCCATTGCATTGCGTCCAAGCCCATTGCAAAAAGTCACAATCATCCATGGGTGGCCTAAAAGACACAATCTGTTATCAGTTCCACTTGGAAACAGAGGAACATCACTATCTAAGATGGTGTGCCAAGACCAGAGCTCAAATGCTGATAGGATCGATCATTACTTTGATGTCGTAATGCATGTGTCTACAAGGCGAGGATCCAACAAGTGCACACAAATCCTGAAAAGACCAACGTTCACTCACAGATGAACAGAGGGCACTTTCCGCTGGGGGAAATCATATTGACGCAGGAGGGGACGAAGAACCAGTTGACATACCTAAGGCATTTCCCATTGAATCGTTAAAGCACAGTGTCCACCTTTCTATTGGTTGCAGTTTGGCTCTTATAGAGGAATATAATAATGTCAAATTGGACTATGTTTTTATAGTAAGCAATTCCCGTCCTTGTTAGGGAGAAATTTTTCGTTATTTGAAGCCCTACCCTGGCTCTAAATATGGCCAAAAGGCTAAACGCGGTTTCTGGGACCTCTCCACGGTGATCCTCACCCACATGGTGGCACTTTGTGTCATCGGATCTTTATCGCTTGTGTGATGTCCTGGCGGGGTAGAAAGTCAGTCAGTCAGTCTGTCAATTTAATGCCACATTTCTCTCGAAGCTTCTGCAGCACAGATGCTTACTAGGCAATCGACCATTTTGCTGCTCCCAAGTACCCCTTCGAAGAAGCTGTTTCCCACGTGAAAACACTCAGATTGTTAAACGAACAATGAGCTGTAATATGATATCTGTTGGGAGAGCCCTAGCGTTAGCTGAGAGCAATGGCATCTGTTACCAGTGTATGAAATGTGAGTATTCTTACTGATCATATTATTGTCGCTCATGTTGGTTACAGTCATGAGGAAACGTAAATGTGCCACATGTTTTACCATATTCCTTCTCAGCAGATTTTCCACGTTCTTGGAAGGTAAGGTCCAAACCCTAGCCACGGCTGCAGAGAGGGTACTGGCTGAAGACTTGCCTGAAGACCATGATCATCTTTCTAATGAACCTGCTGCAACTTATGCAGGACCGTTAACTGCGTATAATACAGGATCGATAACTGCACATCAGGTAAGGTCAACAGCTGCGAATAGGACAGGACCCATTACTGCACAAACAGCAGGAGAAATAGACTGATTTCAGAAGAACTGTATGTCAGAATATCATATGTTCTGGAGGTTATTGTGATGTTAGTAGCTCAGAGATCCCTGGACTTGAACATATCCACCAGCAGACGCTCGATGGGAATGTTGCCTATGGTTCTCCTGAAGAAGATCTCTTCGATGGTCAGCCCGCTGATGACTCGCAAGGAAGGCAGCAGGAGAAGCAGCTTTCCGAATCTATGGACACACAAAGAGAAGCATCTGACTTTAGGCGGACAAAACATGAACAGGTATATTGTTATTGTCGTCGTGGTTATCATTGTCAGTCTCATAGCTATCACAATCTTCGACAGTATCATCATTATCCTCATTATTACTCTAACCGTAGTTTTCCGTACAGTCGGTGTATTCAGTGTCTTATCTGTCTGTCTGTCTGTCTGTCTGTCGGTCTGTCTGTCTGGCTGGCTATCTGTCTGTCTGGCTGGCTGTCTGGCTATCTGTCTGTCTGACTGGCTGTCGGTCTGTCTGTCTGGCTGGCTGGCTGGCTGTCTGTCTGTCTGGCTGGCTATCTGTCTGTCTGGCTGGCTGGCTGGCTGTCTGTCTGTCTGTCTGGCTATCTGTCTGTCTGACTGGCTGGTTGTCTTTCTGTCTGTCTTTCTGTCTGTTTGTTGTTTGTCTGTCTGGATGTCTGTCTGGCTGGCTGTCTGTCTGTCTGTCTGTATGTCTGTCTGTCTGTCTGTCTGTCTGTCTGTCTGTCTCTCTCTCTCTCTCTCTCTCTCTCTCTCTCTCTCTCTCTCTCTCTCTCTCTCTCTCTCTCTCTCTCGTGTGATATTTATGCACAAACTGAACCGATCAAAATACCAGTACTGAATCAGTAGCCGTGTCGGGTTATACCTGAAGGGCTGGCTGGGGTATGCGGCTCTGATGTATTGGTTGAGGCTCATCTGTGACTGGTCTTGAAGGTAGGTGACTGTCTGCAGGTCTGCCAGCGACTTCACTTGGCTGGAGTTGTTGGCGAAAACTGGCAAAAAAAAATTGACTACTTGAAGTGTTTGTCTGACTGTTGAAGTGTTGTCTTATTCTTATGGCACGAAAGGAAAATGGAAGATGATGAGCATAATGATGACGCTTATGATGATGATGATGATGATGATGATAATGATGACGACGATTGTGACTGTAATTAGAAAATGACTCGAAACAAACTGATAATGACATACATACATCTCGCACTGGTGTCGAGCATACTCTCATAGCGATTCTCACATACACACATACACTTACACACACACACAAACCTACGCTCACACAAACGCTCTAAAACCTCTGAAGTCCAACCTTATAGACTCCCTTTCTCTCTCTCTCTCTCTCTCTCTCTCTCTCTCTCTCTCTCTCTCTCTCTCTCTCTCTCTCTCTCTCTCTCTCTCTCTCTCTCTCCCTCTCCCTCTCCCTCTCCCTCCCCCCCCCCCCCCTCACCCGCTGAAGGCAAACACAAGTCACCTGTTTTAAATAGCAGAATGCCTTTGAGGCAGGTGTATTCTGCTGCATCAACCTGCAAGGCCTTGAACTTTGCAATAGTTTCATGAAGTGCCCTGACCTCACTTAACATCCTCAAAACTTTGTCCGGCGATCCTTGGCCAATGGTCACTCCTGATGGAAAGAGAAAACAAAGGTTTAACACAGACAACTCAACGACACTGGACTACATGTTACTTCCTAGCTGTTCCATTGTGACCCATTATAACTAATCAAAGAACCCATTAATCCATCTTCTCATCAGAGGATCCATTAATCCATCTACTCATCAGAGGATCTATTTATCTATTCATCAATGGATCCATTAATCCACATACTCATTAAAGGATCCAATATTTTAAATATTCATCAATGGATACATGAATCCGTCTACTTGTCGACGAATTCGTTAATCCAAATATTCGTCAACGGATACATTAACCCTTCCATTCGTGGACGGATTCATAATCCATCTACTCATCAACGGGGCCAATAATCTATCTACTTTTCCATCTAATAATCAGTTTAGCCTTCAACCGACTGAATACATTGACTGAAAAACCATACACCCATTTATCAGTCTACACATCTATCAATCAACTTACTCATCCTCTGTCCATTTATCTATCTACACATCAGTACACTTCCCCTTGTTTATTACTCTTATCAAATATTCCTTACATCATGCCCATTGTGGTGGAAAACATAATAGATTCACTGCTTCCTGACAAGCATGGCGTAACAGGCGACCAATTAGGGATGGTTCCTTTAAAGTAGGAATGCATCTGCCTGAAAGCGAGGAACCAACATGCTTGCTACACATAAGACGGGTCTGTAAAACCGATATGCGTGCAAAGCTCAACTTCTGGAAAAGACAAAAGTCCAGAAGTGGATGAACAACCAGAACTTGCCGAGGGAGTTTGCAGCTGCTGAATGCTAAAAAGAGAGTTAGAGGTTAGAGTCGAGAGGCACGACTTCATCGCACCGGGTTTATTATATATGGCTCGGTCTCTCTCAGCAGAACGGCTACACGCCTGCTTAGAGCGCTGCGCAGAGCTTGAACTCCGTAGCTCAGGCGACAATCCTCAGGGACCTCCGTAAAAATTGCACTCGTGAACTGAAGAGCGCAGCTGTGAAGCGAACCCAGGAACTTCAAAACGCGAGGCAAACAGCTAGAGCACTTTGTCACAGAGATCCCCCGAACGCTAAGAAATAGGAACCCATCCTCCCATTCATTCATTAATTTATTCACTCATGCATTGATCCTCCCATCTTATAATCTATTTACTCATCTACCAATCATTTCGCCTACCTTTCCATCCATTCATTACCCCGTCTACCATGACGCCAACAGCAAAATGACTGAGCATTAATTCAAAGCGGCGGAAACCCACAGAAACGCATCTGGTTCAATATGACGGAATAGCAGCTTGCTGTTTTAAGTCCTAACAGGTTTTTACCTCTGATAATAGTCAGCAATTGCTGCAAGAATATAGTTCCGTCGCCCAGCTATCGAGCTGTATGCAGAGCGAGACACTGTGAGCTGTGCATTTCATTTGGAAAGCTTTTTGACAGTGCTCCGAGTGGTTTGTTTTGTGAACTGCAGATTAAGAAAAATGGTAAATGGTGGGTTGTTAGGGAACTCTAATTGCCTTATGCGACAAACTGCGTGTGCAACTACTGGTTTATTGTAATATCTGCTTTTATAGATAATGCACTCACTGCATTTATAGTACCGGACTGTTTGTTTGATACTGATGATTGCTGCCGTATACATTTAATGCATGTCATTCCTATAAATAAACAGAGGGTAGAACCATTTGAGGCCGTTAAATATTATGAATTAATCAAGTAACAGAAAGTCCGTATTCCAAAGTCGTAGATTTCAAGCTGTACGATAGACACGGCCAATGAGACACCTTTTTTTTTTTTGGGGTGCCTAGTTGACCATGTATCTTAGTGCACTTGTATTCATGGCGAGGCTCAGACGCCGTCTGGAGGTGACAGGTTCAATTCCCGGCACGGTAACTATAGCTTTCAATTTTTATGTTGTCTAGTGTGTTCTTCTATCTTTCTACTTCTTTCTATGAGTGCCGTTCACAATACTTTCTGTTACTTGATTGATTTAATGCATATGTATGTTACTGGCTTTGCTAAAATTGTAGTATGTATCATTTTTTTTTAAGTGGACCAGTCTGTATAATTTGTTTTTCTTCACAATGTGCAGTGATGCAATTTCTGTGTAGCTATCATTGCTACCGGAATGAAGCAACAATTGAGTGTATTGTTTGCTGTGAAGCAGTAAATGCTATTACCTGATAGAAGACCTGAAGGAAACACACTGAACACTACCTTCTACTTCACCTCTCCCCCTCCTCCCCTCTCTCCCTGTGTCTCTGTCTCTGTCTCTGTCTCTCTCTCTCTCTCTCTCTCTCTCTCTCTATCGCTCTCTTCTTTCTTTCTTCTCTCTCTCTCTCTCTCTCTCTCTCTCTCTCTCTCTCTCTCTCTCTCTCTTTTTTTTTTATTCTCGTAACGGTACAACTGTGGTGCCCCGCACTGCTGAGCTCACATTTTGGGGTCTCTGTGGGAATAGGTAGAGCCGTTTGCCTCTTTTTCTGAAAGTCGCAAGTTCGTTTCACGACTGCATCGTTCGGTTCATTAGTACAAATTTTACTGCGTTTTATGGAAAACGTCGCTGGAGCTACAGAGGTAATGCTTTGTTTTGTATAGCTATATGATACTGTTGTTGCTTTTAAACTACAATGAAGTCGATCTTCTTGACGTTAACTTTGTCACTTTTTGAGGACTTACCTGCTGCAGACAGAAGTGGCCTGGCGTCCAGTGGCATCTGGAACTGGGCTGCACCCAGCACGAACAGTTCCCGCCAGCACTCCTCCAGCAACAGCACCTGGTCTCTGTAGGGCAGCGCTACAAACGCCGGCAACGTTTTTACCCATTTGACACTCATAAACAGAAGCCTGGCCGCCGCCTCACAGATGGTCTCCACGCTGTTGCAGAAGTTGGGTATCCTATGGTCGGTGCCCTGCAGTGTGGAAAGAGATGTGTGAGAATCACGATTGCTGTAATTTCGGTTCTAAACTCAACTCAATTATCTGGTAGCCATTTTATGAGAAGGATCCTAACTCAACCCTGTTCTGATCAGAAACATAATCAGGCTTTAGCTGGGAAGTGAACCTCAAACACCGTCTTAGCAGATCAGCGCACTAACTACTAGACCAATTGTCTGCAATTAATGATATCCTCATCAATCAGCAAAACCTTTACAGTACCTTTACGGTACTTCTGAAAGTCTGGCCAATTCTGCAGCCCTATGTGCCTTCATAGACAATGCATCTTCAGTGTCTTGCATCCACTTTCACAGATGTTGACTGTAGGAAACTTCACCCTTCGTTACAGCTCTCCGCCAATCAACTATGGCGTTTAACGTAGAATCAAAGAAATATTCATTTCAAAATATGTACAAATACAACAGTTAAGAAATAAAAACACTAACTTTAATTGGGACAGATAGGAGGATACCCGGAGAGTGTGTAGCTAAGGGATGTAAGGTGGGTCTGTCCAGGGTTGGATCATGATGGTTGACTGGCGTGAAACAGTGGGACCTAGAAGTGTATAGAAATGTTCACTTTTAACATACATGTATATAGAATTGTTCATTTTTAACATAGAGGTATATAGAATTGTTCATTGTTAACATACAAGTATATAGAACTGTTCATTATCAACATACAAGAATGTAGAATTGTTCATTATTAACATAGAAGTATATAGAATTGTTCATTGTTAACATACAGTATATAGAATTGTTCATTTTCATTGCTTAGAAATACCTATCAATATACAAAATGTAGAATTGTTCATTATTAACATAGAAGTATATAGAAGTGTTCAGCGTTAACATAGAGTGTATATAGAATTGTTCATTTTTAAGTATATACATGTTCATTTTATAGAATTGTTCATTATTAACATAGAAGTATATAGAATTGTTCATTGTTAACATACAGCTATAGAACATTTTTCATTGCTTACAAATACCTTATATAGAAGTGTTTATTGTTAATACACAAGTGAACAGAAGTGTTCAGCGTTATACAAGGGTAGAGAAGTGTTTCCTTTTTAATATACAAGTATATAGAATTGCTCATTATTAATATACAAGTAAATAGAAGTGTTCACTGTTATACAAGTGTATAGAAGTATTTATTGTTAATATACAAGTATACATGGAAGTGTGCATTTTACTAACATACATTATTGCGTATCCACGTAAAAAGTCAACAAACCGACAAACACAAGCGAACTCACGTGACTGGTGGAGACCCGACCAGCCCGCCCCACTCCACTGATTCCTTGATGAACATTGCCACCTGACGGCGGATGGTAGAGTTTCTGGGTCCCCTCTCGTGCTGTACAGCTGTGGAGTAGATAGAGGCACAACGTTTCGGTTATTTCTTCGCTTGCTTTAATGCACAGATTTCTTCGTTGTGTCCTGTCTTGAATAGACACAAAAAAGGAGACGACGAGGAGAATACACGCACCAACGTTACAAACTCAGACATCGTCGCCATTGCCATCGTCATCACTATCTTGCAAACCCCATGGAGAACTTAGCCATCCTCTTCTTTATGAGTGGGAGAGAGGCGAGTGGATTCCCTGTGGCCAAGTGGTCAAGCGGTTTCCCTAGTGTTCTGAAGGTGGTGGGTTGTTTCACTGCTGGTTGTTTGGTTCACAAGTGCAATTTTAACGGAGAACTCTTGAGATCATAGCCGGAGCTGCAGGGTTTGTGCTTTATACGACGTTCTCGGCAGGCGGTTAGTCGTTCTGTAGAGAGAGACCGAGACATGTGTAACAGAACCTGGCGCAATGAAGACGATCCACTTGACTTGAACATTTCAGTCCTCTTGTGTGTAAAATCTATAGCTTCGTGTGCCCAATGGGCCTGAAGGTGTGAAAAACACTCCCATGGGAAATCGAATTAAAAAATCTTCAGTGCTTTTTTCTTATTAGCTCCTTCCAGGATTGCAGTCTGTATGATTAGCATCTCTGGTATGAGAGTCACACAGAAATAAATCCCCCTGCAAATTATGTCAGTTTCCGCTGTTGTAGATTTCAAGATGTACGATAAACATGAAGACAGATTTTGGGGTTGTATCTCATGTATCTCATTACTCTTGTTTCCATAGCGAGGTTCGATGGTAACTATAACATTAAATTGTTATGATGTCTAGTTTATCCTTCTATCTTTCTATTTCTTTTCAATAGTGCGATCAATATATTGTCTGTAATATATATATATATATATATATATATATATATATATATATATATAAATAATGAATTGAAAGGGACGTCACAAGAGAATACCATGGTTCCTGTAAGAGAATTGCGGGGTCGACCAGCATGACGAAGGAGAAGCACATTAGAGACATCTTGGCATGAAAATACATGAGGCAAGTTGTTCTTGATCCCGTTGTTTATCAAATGTGCCGTCTCGCCCATGACATGTTATCATTACTCCCTGAACTAACGCCATGATTGTGAGAAGAGAAAAAACATAGCGACAACTGCCAGAAGGAAGACTTTATTGTTGGTCAGCCATATTGTCTGAAAGCGGAACTGCTTCAGTCTCCGACCATTGCTACAATGTGACAAAGGGGAGTAACTCGACGACGAGACGACCAGGCCATTGAAGGTCGGAGCATACATTAACCAATTACAGAACGGTTTTGTGCTTCTTCAAGCCAAGATCTGATGCTTCAGTTGACTCTCTCTCAACTTTCACGCCACCAGCACGTTTGTCCGGTCTTTGGGCGACCAGTTACAAATTGAAACATGGGTTCTCTTCGTTTTACAGCCACGAATGGGCTAAATACGAGCCGAATGTGAAATTTGAGAAATTACTCTACATTTGGCAGCGATAATTGCTAAATCTGGACAAACAGTGATGTTTCACACATCGATACTTTCAGTTTTCTTTCTTCCTCCGACCAAAAAGCTGCACGATCGTGGTGTGAGCTCTAATCTGTGAAGTTTCTAGAAGAATGGGAGGACAAACAACAGTGATACTCTATTCGAATCTAGTTTTTCCGACTATTTTTCCCCCTAAAAACAAAATGAAGTTGTTTAATTGTATGAGTATATAATACATACACATACAAGCAGACATTGTTGTTTGACAACAACACAACGGGGTTTATGAGAGAAGCAAAGAATTGTAACACTGTTAAGAATGTCGTTAGAAGCAATTGAGGATGGTTGACTTAATACTGGCTATCACATCTCGTAGGAAAGTGTAGCTTTAAACTCCAGCAAAACATCACCAATTCAGCAAAATGTTTGGAGTCATTTATGTTTTTTTGTAAGTATCCAAAAACCATGAGTTGTAAAGCCTTTGGCTCGGTACTATGGATATCGCAACCCGTCGGCCTTGATTCCATGATAGATACCGTAAATCTTGGAGGAATGTGGCTTTTCTGCCTACCCCTGGGCGTGAACCCGGACCACAAGGAGCTCCTCACCCCGTCGCCGCGCAGTCCGGTTTAGCCAACTACGCTAGCGAGCAGGGTAGAGTAAATTATTAAGGCCATTCTCCGATGGAAGTTGGGAGACAGGAAAATAGGCAGGAATAAGACTGTCTTTCAGTCAACAAATGTCCTCTCTGAGGTCTGATGTGTCGGTACTCACCATCTTTGTTCATCCCTGCTTGCACACACTTGCTCAGTCTACATGCCCGGCACTGGTTCCTGTGTGTCTTGTCCACCGGACATAACCCTTGACCTCGTGATTTGCATAAATACTGTCGGTTTCGCCGAACTGACCTCTGAGAATAGAAGAAATAATATCATAACTCCGCCCATTAAGATTATTATATAGATCTTTTTCTTCTTCTTATTCTTCACCTCCTGTTGTATCACTTCTGATGTCGATGGGCAGATACAGATCTGCTTCTAACTCTTCTGGTCACCTCAAGCATAAACACATAGTGCTGTTGGAATGACTTGTTGACCTGTTAGTATGTGGTTGTGCAACAGATATGAATGACGACAATATATTGTCCTGCCTTTTTAGTATATACTAAGTTGGCCCATCTGTACGTGCTAATCGGTGTGTGTGTGTGCATGTGGGTAAAGGACCATTTTCCTGTGTGTGTATATGTGTGTGCGTAAATATATATATATATATATATATATTGTTATTTTAAAGCCGAATTCCGGCTGTTTTCTGGGTCCCTAATATGAGCTAAGGGTTGAACTGGGTTTTTTGTAACCGGGTGATCCTCATCCGAATAGTGGCACTTTGTGTCCCCGGGTGTTGGGCACTCGTGTTATGGTCATGGTGGGGTGAGAGAGGGAGGGAGAGAAAGGGAGGGAGAGAGAGGTAGGGAGACAGAGGGGGAGAGAGGGAGGAAGAGAAAGGGATGGAGACAGAGGTAGGGAGACAGAGGGGGAGAGAGGGAGGGAGAGAAAGGGAGGGAGACAGAGGGGGAGACAGAGGGGGAGAGAGGGAGGGAGAGAAAGGGATGGAGACAGAGGGCGGGAGACAGAGGGGGAGAGAGGGAGGAAGAGAAAGGGATGGAGAAAGAGGTAGGGAGACAGAGGGGGAGAGAGAGAGGGAGAGAAAGGGATGGAGACAGAGGTGGGGAGACAGAGGGGGAGAGAGGGAGGGAGAGAAAGGGATGGAGACAGAGGTAGGGAGACAGAGGGGGAGAAAGGGAGGGAGAGAAAGGGATGGAGACAGAGGTAGGGAGACAGAGTGGGAGAGAGGGAGGGAGAGAAAGGGATGGAGACAGAGGTAGGGAGACAGAGGGGGAGAGAGGGAGGAAGAGAAAGGGATGGAGACAGAGGTAGGGAGACAGAGGGGGAGAGAGGGAGGGAGAGAAAGGGATGGAGACAGAGGTAGGGAGACAGAGGGGAGAGAGGGATTAAGAGAAATGCTAGAGGGAGAGGGGAGAAAGAGACGGAGAGAGAGGGGAGGGAGAGAGGGGGAGAGAGAGGGGGAGGGAGAGCAGTTGTTATCGCCGTTATGGAGAATTAACGATTCTTTAACTCTCTCAGTCCTAAACATTAATTTTAATCTACTCCACAGAGTTGAGATTTCAATAACAAATACAAAAGTATGAGACACATCTTGCAATATCTAACAGCATGTCTCAGTTGAAGTACTGACACCGCTCCATGCATGGACGAACCGTCAACGATCTTTTTGCGCTGTTTTCCTTTATCCCTCATTTAACCAATGTTTCCGGTCACCACATCAAGATCCAGATTTTTTACCTCATAGAATGACCGCCCCCCCCCCCCCCTTTTTTTTCCCCCTTTCCCCTTTCCTAACAACAAAAATACGAATACTGTCTCTTTCTGATATTTGTAGTAATCTTCAAGCCACAGCCTTTTAAAAAAAAAATTTTTGCGTTAATCCTTTTGGCTGCCCAGAATATTTTCCAAATGTTCTATAATACTAGGTCTCTAAAATCTCTACGCTTATTTACTAAATATCCAGGATGCACAGACAGATTTGAACACGGCTGTTCATAGCATGTGATGATTCTGTTCCTAATCTTCAATGATATGTGTTTATTGCAGGAAGTTAAAAGGCATTTTCCACTCCTTCTGGCGAATTGTTCTAGACCTATGTTTTTGGGACAACATCACGCCGGTCGTCTGTATTTCCCTTGAATTTGGCTGCTACCCACTTAGAGCTGGGTCGACGTAGGAGACCCGGGCATATAAGAAAATGTCCGGATAGTTGCACAAGATGTACCCGATTTTGTAATGTAGTTTTTGTCTATGTTGTTCAGCTGAAACATCTCTCATGTAACGTCATCCGAGTGCATAAAAACTAAAATTTCTCGACTTATCAGAAGGTAGTGTTCTTCATCACCATCATCATCACTTTCCATTTTGTCGTGAAGCGTAATGGGGAGGAACCGTTTGCGATCCACTGCTTGATGGGCAGTATTGGCTATTGTTATTCCGTGTCGATGTAGAAGCTGTTTAATATCGTCAATCAACGTTACTGACTTTTAATTGATGTGTAGGCACACTTCCTTGCCATTGCTTGTTGCACGCAGTTCGACATCTGGGTGGTCAGTGCCCATGTTCCCAGGCACTCCGCACAAATCCAGAGCTGCTATTGAAACCAGAATGACTCTTGTTGACATTAGAGTGTCCCCGAGTGGCAGGAGATAGCCACTAGACATCGACTCCTGATTCTTTGCGTCTGCTGTATTCAGCTCAATGACCAACAGAAAGTATTTTTGTCACCGTATTAACTGACACATCTGCGAGTTCTTGCACTTCTTGATTTCTCGTTAACTTCTCAAACGTTTCATTTGTCCTCGACCGGATGAAATCCCAGGCTAGAATAATAAACTGTGACACCGGGAACAATTGGTGGTTCCGGAAAAACCAGCGCCCTGTAATTGTGACCCCTTGAGTTGTCACGTGACTGAGTTCATCACCATGGAGATGTTGTCAGCGGCGAATGTCATAGATGAGCTGTTACTTTGATTCTGTCCCCGCCAATAATTCATCATCATCATCATCGCTATTAGCTTTACACCTAGACCACTAAACTGTGTTGAAGGTTCAAGGCTTTGCTTGGGGGGGGGGGGGTGGGGGGGGGGGTTCAATCATCCCCGAAAGTGAAGTCTTAGGTTATAATTGTGACTAGGTTGTGTGTGCCATATAAAAATTGCTAAGCATTGTAGGCCACCACAAACCATGAAAAAGACTGCCTAGGTGTTGATGCGATCCAAGGAGACAGACCGAAATACTGTCCCGACTGACGACGAAGTCGTCTACCAGCGAGCCAATGATCGATCCGGTCGCTAGATATACCCGGCCTAAAACAGGTAAGTAAAATTAAACATCCCTTTCCCACGCCTGGAGGCGTATTGGGCATACAGGGCTAGACCAACATTTTTATAGACCGATTGGCACCTAAAATAGGTGTCAAAATGTAATTTGAAGCAAAGGTGTCCGGGGTAATCGTACACCATAAAACCCATTGAGTGGTGACTAGTCTATAAGAAATATGAGTCCAACACCCACATGCCCGAGGCGACCATGAGTTGAGAAGAAGCTACAGTCTCCCCGAAGGTACCTCAATTGTAATTCCCTCCTATCCCTCCCCCTACCCCTAAGAAACCCTGGAGCGTTTCTCCATATACTCCAAGGGGTCGTGAGGGTCGCGCCATATACTCCAAGGGGTCGTGAGAGTCTCGCCATATACTCCAAGGGGTCGTGAGGGTCTCGCCATATACTCCAAGGGGTCGTGAGGGTCTCGCCATATACTTAAAGGGGTCGTGTCTCGCCATATACTCCAAGGGGTCGTGAGGGTCTCGCCATATACTCCAAGGGGTCGTGAGGGTCTCGCCATATACTCCATGGGGTCGTGAGGGTCTCGCCATATACTCCATGGGGTCGTGAGGGTCTCGCCATATACTCCAAGGAAAACCAGGGGGGAGTGGGTTAAGCCCAACTGAAAAAGGTTGCAGGCCACTGCTGTACAATGTAAATCGTGGATGTTGTCCCCTGAAGTGGCTTTAGAAATGAAATATGGTCGCAGATAGCAACATAGTAAACAATTAGTGGGACTTTGGTGGTTACCGCCTGTTGACGAGTGTATTCGTGGGGGCAGCTCATCTCTTTGTTTAGCCAGGTTTAGATTTTAGTATCTCGGTGTGACTCCCAGGCAGGCTTTCTTTGGTGACTGAGGGCCTAGGCGTTGCGAACGCGCTTTTGTAATTCTAAAGTGCTGGGTTTGGTCCCAGTTGCGTGTGATTTGGCAGCAGATGGCCTTGCGCTGGTTTCAATAATGGTAAATAGGGCCGACTGTTCATTGCACACAGGCAAACTACTTGACTTAAAATCGCCTAGTGGAATTAAACACAGCTACAACATGCTGGTGATAGGTTCTGCAGCGTACTGCAAAAATGAGCTACTAACTTTTTTTTTAAATTCGAAATCCCATTCCTCGAGCAGTGTTTTGTCTCGTCGACGTTCACGTTTTTTGGGTACACTTTTGTCTCTAGCGAATCTCTTGCGAATCCAGCCAATAAACAAACAAGAAAAGATATAAAACCGAACGAAAAGCATATTAGCAAGCTTCAAAATATAACAAACAAAACGTGAGCCTTCATTAGCACAATAAACAACCATACTGCCTACAAGAACAAGCTGAAAGACAGACAGGCAGACAGGTAAGCAGGCAGATAGGTTAACAACATACCTTAAAGAAGCCGGCACACCTGTAGAGATATACAAGTGATCGAATTAGTGAACGACCTAGAGTGTCTCAAGAAGCGTATATCACATACAAAACTTTACAAGAAGATGTCTTTCGCATGCCAAGATCTGTATGGGATCTAGTCACTTTCTTACCATGGAGCAGACATTGTCTTGTAAGGATTCTTCCTTTCAGACATTTTCTTATAAGGATTCTTCATTACTCTAGGTCAGTTTTTTTTTTAAAAGGTAATGTCAACGGTTTATTGTTTTTTAGTGGTATACATTTGTGTTTTATTGACTTTGTTTGATAGCTGTTCACGTGGATGTCCTCAACCCCATTTTACCTGTCGACATCTTTGTCTAGTAGTAGGTGCTTGTGAGTTCTGGTGATTCCATGAGCTATCCCTAGTGTAACTTGGCTACTGGTTGCGTCACTAATGTCGGACACGATAGGTGAAAGAAGCCAGTCAAAAAAAAAAAAGAGACACGCCCACTGCTTTATCTATCTTCAACATTGTGATCTAAATTAAATTTAGCTTTATCTCCTCTTTGCAACTCGCAAAATACTGGATAGTCTGTTGACACTATTTAAAAAAATTTGTATATGTAATGTAAATATATATATATATATATATATATATATATATATATATATATATATATATATATATATATCATCATTAAGTGCCTTGCAGACCGGCGTGGGCGATCATGCCTCTTTATAATCCGCGATCTTCTGCAGCATGTATCAGTTCGTGTGCCGACACACCTCCATGCCATGCAACAAGACTGTCAAGAATCTTCTCTCGTTGCCTTTCTCTATCCCTTCTTCCACAGATCATTCCAGTGATCACAACATCTTTTATTTTCCCTCTTCTCATAACATGGCCGAAAAATGATGACTGTCTCCTTCTGATGTATGTGATAAGTTGTCTTCGGGCTCCCGCCTCTTTCAAAACCTCTTGGTTGTTCTTTTTCGCTGTTCAATGTATTCTAAGCATTCTTCTGTAAAACCACATCTCTGAGGCCTCAAGAAATTGTTTGGCCTGCCTACCGATTGTCCAGGATTCACAGCCATATGTTAAAACTGGATGTATGTAGCAAGCAAGAATTCTTTTTCTTACTCTCAATGACAAGGATATACTGCACAAGATGTTCTTCATTTAATAAAATGCAGTTTTTGCCTGTCCTATTCTGTTTCTTATCTCAGTTATGCGTCTTCCATCTAATGTTATCCATGTGCCCAGATACTTAAATTTCTATACTTGTCCCAAAATAACACCATCGACTTTTATTACACATTTAGAAATAATTCGTTTCTTTGATGCCACCATTACTTTTGTCTTCCCATTATTCACACTGAGGCCCATTCTTTCACTTTCTAACACCGCAATGTCTATCATTTCCTGTAGTTCTTTCTGACCTATTGCTATCAGGACTGTGTCATCGGCATAACGTAAATTGTTTAAATTGTGCCCACCAACCACAATTCCAGCATACCAAATAAAGATCTCAATATATATTCACTGTATATTGAAAACAAATCAGGTGATACCACATCCTTGTCGTACGCCCCTCTTTGTGCTTTGAAATGTGCCTAAACAGTTGTTAATTCTCATAGCTGCTGTTTGCTGCCAATATATATATATATAAAACATTTTTTTTTTCAGCTTGGTCTTGCTAATGCAAAGTCCCCACTTCCTGACGGGGATTCAAAATGTGCCGTCTCCCACCTACTGAGCTGAGTTCTTTTGCAACCCTGTGAGCTGTGGATTTCAGGAAGAATGTTTTTTCCCCTATTGTGCCCTTCGCGTGTTGTTCGGAATACTTGTGCGAGTGCGATACCGGTTTACGTGACTGCCCGTTTGCGCCAACACTGAGACAGCTGCATTACGCATTTTCCTCTATGTGTGCAAGCTTTCAGCTGGGACCGACAAGTTTTTTTTTTTTTTTCTAGTTTTCAAATGGGACAGTCAAGGGCGTGTTTGATTTCTGCTGACACAGCAACCAGCAGTTTAGGTACCCATGGGTCTTTATGACACAATAGGACAGTATTGTTTAGAAAGAGGGTAAGGTACCAACAATTAGTCAATCTTATGCTTTTAGAACGACAAGATGCTAATACTATTGTCCAAATCAACTCCCAGAGCTATGTCGGGTTGTTGAATGCGTTCACATTCTCTAGCCAAGTAAATCATTGCTTCTTGCACACTTTTTACATCCATACAGAAGACCAGTACAATCTTATTACATTACCTGATACAACTCTGAACAATATTTACATCTCCACCACCTAGGCACGCTAATAATTTCCCACTCATTCATACTTTTCATGTCACCAGGTAGTGGTGATGAGGACGTTCCTTACCCGTCACAAGCATAGATTCCATAGTGTTTTCCCGAGGAGTGGTCTTCACAAACTTTACAGGGGATGTCCATGAGAATTCTGCCTGTAAAACACAAAGGTTACTGTGACTGTGACACAATATGACTGTGCTTATGGCTACACTGTCTGAGACTCGCACAAATGCAAGTGAACTTGTTGACCAAAGTGTTTATCAAAGAAGAACTGAATAAAACACAAACTGCGGTGGTAGAATACAACAAATAAGACGTCAGAGCCTGTAAACAACCAAGAACAACAAGAAATCTGATGAACACTTTAGTTGAAACGTTACGTTGTATTTGTATGTGTCTTTTCCATACGCTCCATTGAGCTTTCCAAATGTTTTGTTGTGTTTAGTTTCTTATCATCAGCTTGATTGCAGTGATCTCCCTTACACCTCATATATTTTAGATGTGTTTCTTGGCCTGGTCTGCTCTGATATTTCCAACCATCACCATTTTCCAATGCCTCCAAACGATTTCTAAAAAGCATTGTTTATCCATTCCTGATTCTCATCGTGTTATGCCGAAAAACCTCCGTGGTCATGACTCGCAAACCCCACACGATTACCACAATCAAGGATCAGCTCGGTGCAGGATCAGGTCAGGGAATAGGTCAGGTCCCGCCCAATCCATTAGGCCAATTCACTGAGTTGCCTTCCCTCAACATTTTTACCGGTTATGACAAAGTTATTCATTCTATTATCTTTCCACAATTTGTACACACACACAGACACACACACATATATATATATATATATATATATATATATATATATATATATATATATATATATATATATTCATTCATTCATTCAGTAGCATGTCCCTCGCGGAACCTCGCTTCCCATAACATTTTTCCGGTTGTAGCAAAGTTCTTCATTCTATTATCTTTTCCCACAATTGTTCTCTTAGACTTCCATACGTTTCAAGTGACACACATTTTCTTTGTTTTATTGTTTTTACACAACCCTCTTCACACACTTGAAGTATGGATGCACACACACTGTAACACACACACACATGTTGCAATGGGAAAGATGCATGCTCTTAAAAATATATATATATATATATATATATATATATATATATATATATATATATATATATATATATATACACACACACACACATACATATATTTATAAATAGACGTATTACCAATCTCTACAATCTAAACACACAATAATTTCCTACGTATTTTAACTTTAATTATCTTTCTCCATGCACTTATTACCAGTTTACTAGTCCACAATATTGGCACGCGTGTCTTAGAAATCACATCCCAGCTGCAGACTTGATATCCAGCCAGGTGTCCGTAATTTTCTTGGACCAAACGAAAAAGGTATGATAATACAACACGCGTTGGCTCATACAACGGATGGCAACGGGCTGAGTACATTACGTGTACCCTTGGGCATAGCTATCGCTATTTAAATATTTTCAAACATAACGCTAACAGGCTAAACACTGTATATCTGGCTTACAATACATTTAATTGAATCTCTAATCCCTTCTACTGTTTAAAGCTACATTTCATGGAAGTGTTCAGTTGCTGGAATAACAAGAATGGAACTCAGCCAGACGCATTGCTTGTATTCGTCTCATGTTTGAGTGGGCGTGAGGTAAAAATGTCTCCAGGCCATGTTTTTACTGTCGCCTATTTTCCTTCACCATTTTAGCGGTATTTAAATCAACAAACGTCAACAATGGATTTCTTTAATTTATTCCAAAGAATTCAGCTGGAAAATCGTGAACCAGAAAGAAACAGAGCTTGGCTAGACCATAGAATTGAAAAACGTAGGATGGAGAGTTAGAAGTTAGAACAAACAGCAACAGTGGATTGTACTACCGAGTGCTGGCAAGTGACGTGTATATCTGTAAAAGAACGGTATTCCGTCACCTGACAGAAAGCCGAAGTGACATAAATACCAGCTGCTAAAAGCCGACAGTTGAGAAGTGAAATAAATTATTCTATGTGGACACTGATTGTCTTTTTGCATAAATGTGTGGCTCGGTCGGTTCTCAATCTGACTTCAGAAAATCTCTCTCACTCTCAAGGTATGCGGTCTGTAAGATTAACACCTCAAAGATGAGAACTCTTCTTTATTTCAATGTCCCTGCCGTGTAGCTTTGGTTGTTTGTCTGAATATATCTGGGCCACAACCTAAGCCGTAAAGGCCGAAAGGGGTTTCTAGGACCTCTCCACGAGTGATCCTCATCCGCATGCTGGCACTTTGTGTCACCAGGTGTTTATCGCTTGTGTGATGTCCTGGAGGGGTACAACTACCTACCTACCTTCTGTCGAGTTTTTTAGGTTTTTTTTTTTTTTTTTTTTTTACAAATTTACTTCTGTCTCTTAGTCTAAGCGTCCTCGTGTGGGATGCAATTGTTCGTTATTTCGAAGCCCTCTAAGGCATTCGGGATTCTTTTCTGTTAGGCAGACATTTGAAAGCTGTGTCAAGCATTTAAGTAGCATTTCGAGAAAGGAAATTAGAAAAAATAGAACCCGAAAAATAAGTTTCGTATGTACGTAAATAAACAGGCATTTGTAATCCCTTCCAGACAAGCTTAGAACCGTCAATAAGAACAGTCCGTCTCTTGCATTTTAGTAGGGGAGAGAAATCAACAATCGACGGTTCGAAAGCAATCTTAAGTGACAGAAACTTGTAGATTGATTTCTGTCCAACTCTCCATGATCTTATTCAAAATGGCTACTACCTATTGAATCTTATTGGTTGAAACAACGCTTCCTGCTCACGTGGTGGCCTAAATGCATGCTGGTTGCCTGAATGCATATACGTGGTTTTTTTAAGAAAGCAGGGAGAATTGGTTTTGTTTAAGCTTTTAGCCGCCGGACACGTTCCATTTGACTTGGTTTTGTTCTACTTTCGCTCCACACCGACACCTCCATTAGTGTTCCGTTCTTCTGGTATCCACTGCTCCAAGAGATTCTCAGCACGGTGCACAGACTCCGTGATACTGTACAAGAATCAAAGATGTGTATAACAAAGCGACACGTATTGTAAATATTGGTTCGTTGGTAATTTTTCTAATTTTCATTTTGCCAAAGTGAATTACTCTTTCCCTTTATTTTCCGATTTTGCTGCACGTGAACTTTTAATGAAGCCATATATATGCTAGATATATAGGTCACAGTTCGAGAAGATTAGATGCCCAAGCATGTAAACAAAATCACTGCTATGCGATCAGTGGCGAGTAAGGTTTATTTTTGTTCCTGAAGAACGATATACTATCCACATAGTAAATCCTGACAGATCTGCCCCTTTTATTACATTATATTGTTATCTCAGTTTCCTTATCGCACGTTCTAATCTTGGCTTATTCCCTCTTGTTATTATCTCTGCTAGTTTTATAACCTTAATATAATCACATCTCCGCATAATCAAAGACGTGTAAGTCGATCAAGACGTCAGGAGAAGATGCTGGGGTGGGATAGAAAACATTTGCTTTAACCCAAAAATAGTAGAAATCAATAGTTCTCTCTTCAACCCCTCCCCCTCCCCCACACCCTTCCAGGGTCAATCTGTGATTAGTCTGACCCCAAACTGCCCCGTTTCCGCGCCGGTGAAAATTACGCTAAATGCCCTAATTTGTCCCGTTTGAGAACTAGTGAAACACATATCAGTCGCAACAAAATCTGAAAGCTCGCACATGTAATATTAGAACAAAAGGCAGCTGTCGGATGTGCCATCACTAACCTGTCAGACACCAGAATTGCGACTCACTTTTGTTGCAAGCAGGTAACTAAGAAAGCCGGCATCTTACACGTACATTAGTAAACGCCATTCTTTGTTTAATTCAGTTAACAACACCACGGCTAGCTCCAGATTTTTAGAGAATAATTAGAGACGGGCGTGCACACCACAAAGCAGTCTTGGGCATAACATTAAATACATTTAACATGAAGTTCCTAGCTCACAGTGTTGTACCGCACACTTAACTTGGTACCCAGGTGACGGAACCCTTGCACTTCCAGTCCAAAATCTGGATGCTTACATCAGCAAACCCTGGAGAGAAACAAATTACTTTAAAGAACCACAACGTTAAGCCGGTAATCAGCCATTTTGGATGGGAAGACCAACGAGGCACTAAAAGCAGACGGAACCGAGAGACATACCAAGAACAGAATTCGTGACAAAAATGAACACCATGGGTGACACATTAAGTGCTACATCTTTCAAGTATTTGTCACTTGTCATCGCCTAGGACGGATAAAAAATCAAAGGGAAATAGGGAAATCATGAACATGAGAATATAGGGCTTAATTGCTTGTGCAGTCGCCATGAACTGTGCAGGGTAGGTTACTGATGTTTGCTCCTGACAGAAAATGTTTCCATAATTTTACCGACGATATTTTCATGTTCATTGCTTACTGGTTGTAAACACCGGCGGAAAGTTACTGTTGTTCGTCCACCTCTGGACTTTGGTCTTGTTCGAAAACTTGAGTTTTGCGTGCACATGTGTTTTACAAAGCAGGATTATGTTCGGACATTATATTGGTTCTTTATCTGCCAGGCAGATGAACTCCGACTTCGAAGCTAACATCAACCAAATAGTCTTCTTTCAGGACATGCTTTTTTGTCTTCCTAATTGGGGCAGAAAAACACCACACTGGGAACCAAGGATCTGAACCCAAGTCTCCCACAAGAGAGCTGTGCTCTCGTCCCACAGCCACAAAAACATAATTTGATGCCGAAGGATACACTGGCTTAGGTGAGTAACTAAAAGTTGACCTAGTAGACAACAGTCAGTCCCTAACGACCATGGACACGTGCCGCTGGTTTTGGGAACTGCGTCTGCTATGACTGTAAAATCCAGTGCGGGAGTGGCCGCATCTGCAACAGATTCCACAGAAAAACGTTGATACTCCATAGTCCTGAGGCTGGTCTTCTCTCAGATTCTCCTCTCTATACCTCTCTATGTTTGGCTCCAACAAACTGTGACAGTCCGTCTGTCCCTGCTGCCTCCACATGAGTGGGTCAGCAGTAATCTATCCCAAGTGTCTGTGTCAGTGTTGGTATTATTCTTTGCGTACATGCTTAAATCGTAGCCTTAGCTTTCTGGCTGATCTGTTCCCTGTTTTCATTCCCCATTCAGAAGATTTCTTGAAATGCGACCGACATCTATATATAGGACATGTCCTAACCAGAGCAAGCGTCTTTGCTTCAGTAGAAAAAGCATTATTTGCATTCCTACTCTTTTGAGCACACATTCATTGGGGACAACATCTCACCACTATTAACCAAGAATGCTTCTCACACAACGCATATGAAAAGTACTCAAATTTTTAGGAGCGTACGAGTCCAGGTGTCACTGCCGTGAAGGAACGTGCTCAGGGCACAAGCTTCAAAACCCTTAATTTTAGCCCTACCCATAAGTTTTTCCCTCAACCACACTCTCGTTTCCAGTTTGGAAAGCATTGCAGAAGCCTTTCCTGTTCGTCAGTTTAGTTCTGCATCTAAGGAAAAGTGACCGGCGATCTAGAGTCTAGGCATTACAACTCCTGTACAACCAACAGCTTATGGTGGTAAACGCCAATGCTTAGTGGATTTATTACATCGATCCCCACTACTTGCCTTTTGATGAGACCGATGTTGAATTCTGTGTAACTCATGAGTATCTACAAATAATTTTCTGTAAGTGCAGTAATGGCTGTACCATTGACAAATAGAAAGTCCTTGCGGCTTTGTGTAGGCAGACCTAAAGACACATATAACGCAAGGAGAAAATGGCCAGCTGTGGTAGATAAAGTATATGACTGTGTTATGTAAGCTCGTATTACTCTCATGCTCTTTTTTATTACATATTAATAAAGTAACAGAAAATGTGTTAATCGGCACTCATAGAAAGAAGTAGATATAAAAGTAAGATCAAGAGGAAGGTAAAGAAGATGAAGAAGAATTCATTGTTACAACATGGACATACACACACCCACTAGCGCACACAATTTCGATAATATTCACTTTGTCTCTGATGAGTTAACAATCCTAACCTACAGAAACAAAATGTCCTATTCTAATCCCTGAAGCATCACAAGTAGGATTAACTCATCATTAAAGTTTCTATCAAAACGAGCCGGATATGGCGACATTCCGAACAATAAAAGCTCCAATTACCTCCCTTAAGCAGACAATCAGGTCCTCTTGTGTATTGTGGAGAATTAATATTTTCTGTTGTCCTAAGGTCGTATTATATCTGTGGTTGTTCATTTATTTCTTTATAATTTACTAGTTTTTTTTTTTTTTTTTTTTTTATTGATAACTTTCAGGCTTTCAGCAAAGTAAGGATTACTTGCATATCTGGAATCAACCTAAAACCCTGCACGCGGCGCGGCTCTACTCTGTCATCTCTTTCTCTTGCCACAGACCTCAAAAAGAGTTAATAATGTGATTCGCAG